AGGGGAGAAAACTCCACCCATTGCACAGTTTGACTGCACTTGCGCGAGGCACAAAAATAGGGCCTGGTGTGTTTTTAATTTCAGTTTGATAACTTTAAAAAAAAAAAAAAAAAAAAACATAACCACAAAAGTATTTCCATTGTGCTGTTATGATTAATCAAGAATGTCCAAACAAACTAAAACCCCAGAGAAGCACAGGGTCAGTTTCCTCCATTTCACAATTTCCACAACAACATGTGTTGAACCCAAGCATCTTATTCCTTGTTCTGTGGTTCACTGTCTGTGTAGTACAGCAAGTCCCCTTGGGATTGAACAATTCAAACTAACAGCAGTGGCCTTCAAGCATGTTTATGTTGGCCTTTCTTTCCACTTGTTTTATTGCTCACTGGAGACCAAAGTGGCGGCAAACGGCCCATTCATTGGCTTAGTAGACTATCAAAAGGGGGAAAATAATCACCAAAAGATGTTCAAAAGAAGCATCCGACCATGATGAACCAGCGATAAATGTGTCGGCTCTTCAAAACTGGCTTGTGTGTATCTTCTTTGTTGTACTCACAAAAACAAACTTCCTCTATAATTAGAGTACTTTAATCACAGTAGGATTATGTAACTTCCATATCAGTCGATATCTTAGTATATATCTAAGTATACAAGGTCGCAAAATGTTCGCCAAACGTCTGTCGACCGTTTGACGAACATTTTGCCTGTACTTTTCCTGTTGGAATTTTGAACATTTTTTGACATTTCGACAAGAAAAGAACTCACACACACACACACACACACACACACACACACACACACACACACACGCGCGCGCGCTCGTGTGTGTGTGTGTGTATGTGTGTGTGTGTGTGTGTGTGTATATATATATATATATATATATATATATATATAAAATCTATATATAGCAGTGGACCCTTTGGGTAAAGTTGTGCGTAATGGCTTTCACAAGACCTCGTCATTTAGAATAATTTTGTCAACATAAACAAACTCATGTGGCCAACTATGTCTTCAGTGACTATGTCGAGGTCACTATTAACTGACCAACACAGTATCAATATAGCGTCAACACAGTTTGTGTAATGTTTCAATATACTCCTTGAGGTATCATCTACTCATCACTAATGGGAAGAGGGCCTTGAAAAATTAACTGCACATTAAATTACAATCAGTCGCTCACTCACCTGACTTGTGAGTGAGCAGTGTGGAATGCGTTCCCACTCAGTGACGGGGTGAATGTAAGTGTGTAAGATTGTTCATCTCTATCTGTGTCCAATGACTGACTCTTTCAGCCCCGCCCCCACCCCAGCAATTTATTTAAGTTTCAAAACATGTTTTTTAAGTTCACAAGTCAGTAGCCATTTTGTTCCAATCCAATTTCTGTTTCCATGTTTGTGTTGCAGCTGTACCCCATGTCTGTTTGTGAGGGCAGGGAAGGGTGGGTTGAGTCTTTCAGTTACTTCCGCAGTGAGGGCGCGTTCGGAAATAATCTCAGAGCATGCACTGGTCCACTGTGACCATTCAGAAACTTAGCGCTTTCTTGAATTTGTCGTTTGGTTGTTCAAAGTCCACCAAAACCTGTGCCAACAACTAGGTGCTCCGACTGGGGACACGGTGCAACAGTGATAACTGCGTTCGGAAATTCTGCATGCTCCACCTCTCAGACCACACCTTCTCTCAGAGTAATGCATGAGCATCAGACTGAATTTCCCAAAGCGCTTAAGGTTAGAGTTAGTTAGCTTGCAATCCATCTCAGTGCTGGAACGCTTTGCAATTAAATAAACAAAACATGTTTTCCCCCCAAAAATCTCCCCGTCTCCAAGAAGGGTAAAGAAGAAGAGACAGATTGGAATAATGAGCCCGGTCCAAATCCTGAAGGAGCACCAGCCGCGTCTCATTAGTGCAGCAGCTTCAAAATAGTGTGCAAGAAGCATTCCAGAACAGCGGAAAACAGCGAGGCAATGCGAGCATACAATTTGAGCATTTCTGCCACATGGAGCAGTGCGCAATGAAAGGGATACAAAGACATAATAAATTACTGCGATTGGACAGTAGGGTCAAAATCTCTGCAAATTCACACCTATATTGAATACAATCCTCTGCCGTGCACCAGGAGTGTGTATTATACACTTATTTAAAAAAAAAAAAAACAAAAAAAAAAAAACAAAGCAATCTCTCCAGTAAGCGAAGTCATGAAAATTGATTTCTTTCTCAACATATTCATCTCCATATCGGTCAAGCCCCCCCCGAGAGAAAAATGACAGTGCCATGCCTGATGGGCAGGATGGAATAAACACAGCCTTTGCTAGATGTCTCACCCCAAGGAAAAACCCAACCATTTCTTAATCATCGTTTAAATTACTGTTCATCCGTAAGCGGTGGATAAAAGGGAATTACGGCCTGAGCCACAAAATGCTGACTGTTGAGTGACACGAATGGAACGCACTCTTATGTCTGAGTAATGTGCTGTGAATCCTCAATGTTCCCTTCCCAGAATAGGAATTCATCAAAGTGGCGGTAGAAGAAAAAAACTGCGCGACTGTCAGCACTGATGACTGAGCTCTTGTCGTTTTAGACCACAGTATGCAGCACGGAGATGAACCCACCGCATTGTGACAGTACTCCAGTGCGTGCTGGTTGACTGCACCGCAGATTCCTGATCATCTCCTCGCAAAAGCCATTGTTCTCGCATTTGGGGTCGCTTGCCTGTGAGCCAAAAGTGCCGGGGGACTGGAGCCAGGGATTCACTTTGCTGTCTCTCGTGCCAAGGACAAACAAAAGAAAGCCAAAGCTGTTGAAATAGTGATGTGGAATGCATGACAGATTTGGAGGCATCGTTGCGGCGGCACGGTGGTGTTGTGAACATCAGAAGAACGCAAAAACGTCCTTCATGATTGAATCAATTTGATGGTGAGACCTCCCTGGTTTAAACTAAATAAACAGTTTGTGGGAATACTACTGCAGGTTGTTCAACAATTCATTTTGACCAATGTTAAGCATGAAATATCTTCAGAAGCAACAGTCCGTGAGTGAATTGATTTGCAGTAAATGAGTCGGAATGTAATATATTCACATTTTTCATATCCGTGCATTTCAAATGAATTATGTACGCATATGTCACATTAAAACAAGATCAATGAGTCTGACAGTCTAAGCTAGCGTCGAAGAATCAAGTATGGTATATCATTTGCTTCTTTCTATGTTAAGCCATATAAACGTATTTAAATATCCTTGATTTAAGGTCTATGTGCTAATACACTCGTCCTCATGAGGAAGAAAATTCAGTGTACGAGCAGACTATGGTCAGTAGGGTGCACTACTAGTAATGACTTTTCTACTACTAGTGCCACTTTTAGCCAACTAGTACACCATAATTAGTACACGACTGTGCCGCACAAGCAATACTCCTCGTCCCAAATAGTGGGCGTCAACACAAGTTGCCTCCTGGACCCTACTAGGAGCAGCAAAGTGCCCACTAGTAGCTTTGCTTCACTCGTAACATATAGTTGTTTTACTAATATGCAAAACTTTACCTACTTGCGTGCAGAAATATCAAACAGTATTGAAGAGCGGTACTTGGAAAAACATCACCAGTAAGAGAGAATCAAGACGTTACAAAGAGTGGATGGTGCAGTCCTGTGAGCAATATTACCTTTGCCAAAAGAGAATATTAGACGTGGGTCTTTAATTGGAGCGTCAATGTTGTGACCAAGGTCATGATTGTGTAGTGGTTAGCACCATGCGTTGTGGCCGCTGCAATCCTGATTCGAATCCTGGCCGCGGCACGGGCAACGACCCTGCTGGGCGGCCTGGTGGTCCAGTGGTTAGCGCGTCGACCTCACAGTGCAGAGGTACCGGGTTCAGTGCCAACTCCAGCCTCCCTGTGTGGAGTTTGTATGTTCTCCCCGGACCTGCGTGGGTTTTCTCTGGGTACTCCAGTTTCCTCCCACATTCCAAAAACATGCATGGCAGGCTGATTGAACACTCTAAATTGTCCCTAGGTGTGAGTGTGAGCGTGGTTGTTTGTCTCTGTGTGCCTTGTGATTGGCTGGCAACCGGTTCAGGGTGTCCCCCGCCTACTGCCCAAAGACAGCCGGGACAGGCTCCAGCACCCCCTGCGACCCTTGTGACGATAAGCGGATTGGAAAATGGATGGAGGGATGGATGTGGTGACCAGGGAGTGTACTGTACTTCCATTGATGATGTTTTTCCTATCCCATCTGCCTTTCTATCATCTATGTATTACTGTATATCAAATGGCTATAGATCATCACAACATCTGGACTTTATGAGTTTGGAATCCATTACATATTTTTGACTGTTGCCCAGAGGTTCTGTCTGGATTATAGGAAGAATATTTCTCTAACCCCTCTGACCTGGAAAGTCCAATAAGTATTTCCATTGTTCAGTTTGTTAACAATTTCACACAGTGATGCGGTATGATGCAGCGCACTTCTAAACCACATCAAATACCTTTACAAATATATGGCGAAATGATTAGCTATGAAATTGACCAATATCGACCAGTGCCTTGACCTACAAGAAAACAAAATGAATGAGAATGTAGAGAAATGAACAGACTTGTTTTTTTTTTGGTCAAAGTGTCTGTGGTGTTGTATGTGTGCCTTCAATTGGAGTGGCCAAGTCAGTGAGATCAGGAGCACGGTTGGTTTGTCTTCCTTTGAGGATCCGCGCATAAGATTTGTCATACTGTAGCTACTCCCTAGTGTTCTCCTTTAGTATTTTCGTAGCCTAAATAAGTCCTTTTTAACTAACTGTCACAATATCATATTTATTCTGCAAAGGTTGAATACCGGTAACTGGACTCTTCTTGTTTGTTGAAGTTGTGTTTGTGTGTAGTGTGTGTTTGTTTATTTTCTGAAGTCATTAATCAAATAACTCATAAAATATGCTATTAGGCTAACAATGGTATACTGTATTGCTCAAAATCAATCATCATGAAGTTACTCAACTATTTTGTCAATCGGAAACACTGAGTGTTGCGGTTTAAAATTCAATTTTATTTTCAAATTGTGCAAAAAATATTTTAAAAACATTACAGTATACATGCCTATATAAAAATAAGTGAATCGACAGTATAGAAACGCAGTCACACATTCTTTTCATGACCTCGCTGCAAAAAAAAAAAAAAAAAAAAAAAAGACCAAAATGATACCATTATTTACAATTCGCAGAACTTTACAAAACCCATCATACACTTCCCATTACAATTGCGGTATGTTAAAGACCGGACTGCCAAGCATAGCGATAGGATTGAGGTAGAATAAAGAAATATACACTGAAAAGATTTTCTTTGTGGCCACACGTGAATATGATATGAACAAGAACAGTAGATACTGCTCATAAGGACAGATTATCCTGGCTTGTGGTTGTAGTCGTACTTTTGTCCATTTTGGACACATTTCTCACGTAAAATGCAATGAAGTGTGAATATTACAAAAGTGCATCAACAAAATGATTTGGATTTTGAACATGAAACTTTCCGCACTTCCAATTATGGCTCCCATGTCAACATATAAAATGCATCTGTCATTGAAATGTGACACATTCATCTGGCTTGGGTGGGGTCGGGGAGGCAAACATTTTCATTTGGAAATTAAGCCAGAAGAAGTAAATGCAGAAGTGATCCAATGCCATAAAACGTAACCACAAGATTGCCAACATTCTCTGAGCCAAAACAGCAACGAGTCATGAGCAGGAGTGAGGAAGTGTTGCAAAAGGAGACAATATTTTAAAAAAAATTGTTAATACATGGCACTTCTTCCAAATATATATTATGTACACGCTGATTAAATAAAGTGTGATCAGTATACATTCCCACATATGAAAAAAATATTAATAACACCAATGTAAACATAATAACTTTCATCGAGCCAGCACCAGCTGTTCAATGTATTTTAATTTACAACATTCACACGTGAAGCCTTTCTAAGGGTTTTCTCTACGTGGGAAAACGTGATTTCCTTGATTTACTTGAAAGGGGGAAAGAGTTCAGACTGTGTGGAGGCGCTCGGCTTCCGCCGAAGGCACATGTATGGTTGTGGTATCAAACCTGCAAGCACTTCCTGCTCCTCAAGAGCAGGTGAGGTGACTTTCGGATATACCGACAGATGCCTCACTCCCTGACAGCGAAGACGCGGAAGGAGCCTCCCTCTGTGTTGCTCTTGCTGCAAAGAAAGACCAATAACATGATTGGGAGGGGGCATTTATTATTTTTATCCTACATTTACTGCAAGAAGAAAGAATAATATTTATTGTGCTTAGTATTTATATAATAATAAATATGGCAACTGGTTGGCAACTTGGATGATGTGTGTACCATGTTAGGACGATTTCATGCAAAGCCTTTATTTGCGCCTGAATTGAAAACAAGCACATGTGGTATTACGTGACATATTACTGGCACGAACCTGCTAACGTGTTTACATTAGAACGCCTTTATAATTAGTTCACCAGTGAGACGATAGGCCGCTCACCTGCTATCATATCGCACATAATTATTCTTACTGTATAGGAAAGTGGTGATTAGGTGGTGGTCAGTATTTCCAGCCAGGAGCAATCAGATCCATGGTGATTACTCGTCCATATAATCCTACTGCACTGTAGCCGACGTAATGTTGGCCCAGAGTACGGACCTCCACTCCAGCCATTTATTGACCTGCGACCGCCTAGCCCAATTGCATGAGGGTTTTTTTTTTTTTTTTTGGTGTTGTTTTTGTTTTAATACTTTCATTGTAGTCCGACCGGTCTGATTTTTTTGGACCACTCAGCACTTTGTACACTCAATTGAAATGCCAGGCTATAAAGTAAGCAAAGATCCCATGTGTGGCCCATCCGCACAGCCAACCACACCATTACTCTTACAACAGGGCTGGCCACAAAGGCCTCCCTCGCCTACGTTTGCACCCCATCTGAGCCGGCCGCAGCGATGTGAGAAACATGGCGTGTGTGCATGCAAGCAAGCCGCTGTGTGCTTTAAACACACATAAATCCTGCTTTGGTGTGATGAATAAATGTACCTTCATTTCACACAGATCTCAACTTTGAGTTGTATCCAGTGCGTTTTGGCCGGACATTACCACGGTGCCGAAGAAGATAAATATTATGTTTGCTTTGATATTAAAATGGACTTTGATTTGATTTTGAGACTCATCCAGTGTGCGGGATGATTCTGACCGCAGTCAGGCTTCCACGTGCGGCGTAAGGCCTTTAGACCGAACGGGGTTTCTCTTAGCCTGGTTCCAAACATGCACCACAATTTGTTCAGCAGATTTGTTTCTTGGGTTTAAGCAAAGAAATTTAGATCGATTTCAATAAAACAAACCAACAAGAAGCAGATTTGTGAATCAACTTGACTAGTACTGCCACTATAGAGTATTTTTTTTTTGTATCAATGATTCTACTGATTATTCCATTGACTAATTGGATCAAACTATATTTTACGTTGTTCAACATGGCAAAGTGCTTGCAAGGTTCAAGTATTGTTGTTGAGTATGGGTACTCATGCTCCACACTGTAATATCTCTGAATTTGAGTGTGTGTGTGTGTGTGTGTGTGTGTGTGTGTGTGTGTGTGTGTGTGTGCGTGTGTGCGTGTGTGTGTGTGCGTGTGTGTGTGTGTGTGTGTGTGTGTGTGTGTGTGTGCGCACTTCCAAAGATGGGGCATGGTCTGGTGAGTGATGTGGGAGGCAGTACATGAGAGTACAGAGTGGCTAACGGTTAGCCAGTCTGCATGTTAACTTGCTGAGTGTCTGGGTGTCAGTGGTGGCCGCGGAAGCCCGTGTGTGAATGTGCAGATTTTGTGTTCGTGAATGTTTTTATTTTGTTACCATTTGTTCAATAAAGCGATTGACCAACTTATTTCCTTATAGATAGGTGTATGGATCTGGAGTAAAATCAATCTATTCAGAAAAATAAGCACATTGTGAAACTTCCAGGAAAATATTTAGCGCTCAACTTTTTTTGTGATTGAATTGTTCGAGGTTTAGAACAAAATTCAACTTGATCAAATAATAAAAACAATCAATATCTTTTCCTTGCCTCGCATTATGCAGCTCTTGTTGCCTAGCAACCTAGCATTTGTGACCAACACCATGTACAGTAGCTTCATCTATTACTTCAGTGACCATTTGTGGGCTCGTTGGGCTTTCATTTCTCTTGCTACTCATTTAAAATGGGTTGAATTTCCAGTCATATTTGTAAAATGGAATTAGCTTTTTTCAAACACAGAAACGAGCCATTTAAAGGAGCATGTTGTAATGAATCAATCTTGCAACGATGCTGTTGTGAAAGATTGTCCCAATCCACAATACAACCTATTAATTTTTTAAAAATTGAAATTAAACATTCACATTGAAAGAAAAAAGAGGAAAGAATTAAAAATTTTTGAAAATACTGATTTGGGGTTTGGGAAAGAACACCACTGCAAAGAGCAAATATCTGTGAGTAAGTATCCCCCCCCCCCCCCCCGCACCGCCCCAAAAGGTTTACAATTGGCTTTTGGTACCAAAACATGGACTTTTGTTTAAATTAAGATCCTCAATCCACTTCAACATACAGTAGTGCCTTGGCACCACGATGCCACAAGATGACAGCAAAGCGCTACTTCGGTCTAAATGAAGCTCCTCAACTAACTTCGGCATAGTTTCTGAAGATGCCATAAAATGTCCGAAAATCAATAGTTTTATTGCTTTGGCCTGAGCACAACAAGGGCAAAAACTTGTGTTTTTCAGGCAAATATCGGAGGAAATAAAATGTTTTTGCCATTTTGGTTCACCCACAAAAAACACAATTTAAAACAGGGTCTACTCGTTGGCTGAGTTTGTAATTTTTTTTTAGTGTGTAGCACGTTACAATTTTCCGTGAAAGTAAAAAAATTTAATTACATTTTAAAAAAAGAAGAAGAAATCTATTGCATTAACTGACTAAATGTCAAGGCCAAACAATCCTATTTCAGGTCACAACCATCCTGGATATTTACCATTATCTTGGTTTGAATATTTTTTGAAGATTAAATGGATCATTTCTGGCCCGGAAAGTTGTTCTGATTGTGGCGATGACAAGTTAACAAACGAAAAGATTACCTTTCGGACTGGATGCCATTTTTCAGCACACCAACATAATTCTTTCTCTTGTCCAGAGGCAGGACGTCCACGAACCCCCCGTCTGGTGGGATCACCCCTGCATGGATGGCCGCCTTACAAATACTGGAGTTCTGTTCGAGAGAAAGAGGATGGGCACAGTTTAGCACCTTGTCCACAGGTTTCCATTTCTTTGAGGAGACCTCCCAGGGCACATTTGCTACACAGTGCTCGTGTCTGTAACTGTTGACATGTAACGGGACTGACAGCCCAGGAGCCTCTGGGGAGCGGTCATGTGCAGCCAGCTGGACATCATCGGAGGCGAAGTTCGTACAAGGTGAAAGTCTATTAAACTTCACGTAGACGTTACGTGCCAGTGCCAGTGCTAACTCAACACACTGACTCATGAAGGTGACGTGAATTCTTGCACATCACTGTTTAGTCTGCTTTACAGTGAAGCAATCCACTTTCAACATGGCTCAGAAGAGCTTGCAGTGGTCAGGAGCAAAACCAGTCTTCCTGAGAACATTTCTGCTTTTTCTGGATGGAAAACGGTCAGAGAGAACTGGTACTGAACACAATCTCACAACAACTCAAAACACTTTAAGTTGGGCAATAATAATTCGAGATACCACTAAATCAGTGTTTCCCAAGGTTTGGAGTTTTTTTCTCATGGCCCAATAATCGAAATTTCAGCAAAAATGTGGCAAAATGGCAAACGTGAAGGGGACTCTGCATCACCTGTTTCCCCACCTCACGGCTTCCCAGGTTTTAAGAATGAAAACAAAAGCTAAGCATCCTACTGGAACAGATTGTTCTTGAAATTCCATTGTTGGACATAATGATCAAGAACACAACAGATGTGAATTAAAAAGTTTCAGAAAGGCTAATCTTAACAACGTTGCTCATATTAAAATCCGTTTTTATTTATTTAATCATTTATTTTCTGTGCTCGCCTTTATTTTCAGGTTGCATCTTGTAATGAATTTCTTACATTGCTTGATTCTCAAGTTCAACAATCACACACTGGAAAGCTTTTACAATGAATGTAAAGAGCCTCGAGAGGTTCCTCAAGGTTTATTTCTAAGTCCTCCAATTGTTCCACTCCAAGATAACCATTTTACTGGTTAAAAAAAACAAACAAAAAAAACAGTGTTTGTCTTGTATTTAAGTAAAGCAAGGTTGTTATGGTGTGGTATCCCTCCCTCATACATGAATAAATCTGTGTTTCGCAAAACCTCATCACTTACGTCCATGTAGATGTTGCTGCCAACAACCGGTGACCAATAGGAGGGTTGACTCTTGCAGTCAGAAGGACAAAAGACTCTAAAGAAGCAATTGGACATGACTGTCAAAATGGAGCAACATCAAGAGCTGTATCAAAGTGCTCGCTTTACTCATTTGCTTGGAATAATGTACATTGATAATGAGCATACAAGGATCATTCCAGAACTGGAGGACGTTTTTGGTCCCCGGGACCAAAGTTTCACATTTTGTATAAATTTCAGTTGTCCTGAAACGAAATTTAACGACAGCTGCGGTGAAAGTGATTCCTAAATATTATTGAAAATGGCAAATCGTTCTTGAACACCCCTTAAAATGGCTTTTCTTTTGTCTTTTCCCTCCCTCAATGATGAACTTGAATAAAAATGTAACAGAAAAAAAATGTTTTCGGGGTCTGGTTTCGTGACGTATTCCTTGTAATCGTATTTTGTCTTATCACAGACATATTTTAAATTGTAGTAGTATATCAGTAGTTGTATATAAATTCAACCTCCCTGTGAACTAAGATCATTTTAATTATCCAGAGGAAGAAAAAAGTGAGCTGCATGACTCAGCGGAAGTTTCTTCCGCTGAGTATCTTTTTAGCCATTTGGAGGAAGTGGAAAAGAGTGAGCTACATGAGTGAGTAGAAATGTTGCAAAAGGCTAAGACCCTTTATTTTTTGTTACGGTAATGTCCACTAATTCTAGAATGACCCACAAATAGACGAGACCTCGTTCGGCTTTAGTGAATGCATGAGACGAGTCACCTCGGACAATGTGAGAGGGGCTTTTTGAATGGGCAGATTTCGGCGACTGTCGTGTAGCAGTCAATATTGGATTCTGTTAGAGAGAAATGAGAAAATACAACATACACATGTTAAGCGCCTCGCCTTACTTGGTGATTAAACAGGCCATCTAATGTCAGTGCAGCACGCCTTCTCTTACCTTGTACTTTGGCCATCATAAAGGCATTCCCTGGCTTATATTTACTGCAAAACATATTCAAATGTGTGTTTAGACAAAGAAAAAAAATCAGTTTATCATGGTATAAATTTTTGAGGTTTACCTGAAAGACTCAATGGAATTTTTGGTGGCTTTGACAAAGAAGGGAACCTTTGTTTCCATCCTTGTGATGTCTACAACTCCTCCGTTGTTGTCGATCGCACCGGAGTGAATGGCGGCACGGCAAATACTTGATTGCTACTCGAACAATGAAAAAAACACTTTTTCAGTCACGATTCATTCATTAAAATCAAATGGATCCATTTTTGTTGTATTGTCTGGCAACCATGCTCACCACATCATAGTAGAGTGTTCCCCAAACTTTTCCTTTTCTATTCATGCAGTTAGCAGGACACTTGTATCTGCGAAGTGAGTAAAAGATCGAGTCAAATTATTTTGAACAATGATATACGAGCTAGACAGAGAGAGAGAGAGAGAGAGAGAGAGAGAGAGAGAGAGAGAGAGAGAGAGAGAGAGATGGAGATATTTATTTTAATGGACACTCTACAGGGGTGGCCCGGTGGTCGACTGGTTAGCACGTCGGCCTCAACGTGCAGAGGTGCAGGGTTCAATTTTAAATTGACAGTGCAGAAAATGCACAAAGTGAGAAGGATTCAATTACTGGTTTGCTGAGTCATGTGTCACAACATTGTTGTTATAAGTTAAGTAGAAGCAGATGTTTGCACATTTTTTAATTTGATTCAACACAAAACTAGTAAGTATGCTTTCATGGAGGATTGTAGACGGAGAACATTGACTGTTGCGAGGCTGAAATTCAAAACAAGGTGTTTAAATGAGTAATAAATGATCAAAATAATGATTCATTATACTGATTCATTATTCATAACCAATTAGTTGTCGATGAATCAATTAGTTGTTGCAGCGTCAGAACTATAGTTGTATACTTGAATATTTGTTTGCCATTATATGATCATAATACAGTATAAGCGATATTGTGTTCATTTTACTATTATCATTATAACGGAGCGCTAAGAGAAATCATAAGTACGATGCAGCAGTGACAAAAATGATCTTAACACTCTCACATTCCAGGCTGTGCGAATGTATCTAGGTGGCCACTCGGTGTACATTTCTTTACAGGTACTTCATTAAAACAAATCAAAATAATATACCGGTAATTATACCTGTTGCAGGTCACTCCTTTGCACTTGTCTCTCAGTCTGGTTTCACACTTGATGCTCTGAGCTGACAAAAAAAAAACACACAAGGTGAAAAATGAGGTAAAACAATAGAATATAATATCATGTAGTATTCTAATACTTACCCAGGTTGGTGTTACTAGGATTCCTTGAGGATGGGCTGCTTGGCGTGGACGGCCTGGACACTGGTTTCTTTGGAGTGGAGGGTTTGGGTGCGGGTTTTGCGGTTGTGCGAGGCACGACGGGCACCTGAGGCTTCTCCACCTCGTTCATATCCTCAGTCTCTGTGCGCTGGGAGTCTAACATTGGGTAAAAAGATAAAAAATACTTTTTAAAAAAATAATAATTCAGTACAGTGCATGTTATTGGCGTAAAAAGCTTGACAACCGCTGTATTTATGGATCCGCTATATATATATATATACATACAAGAAAAAAAAAGTGTCCATACATATATATATATACATATATATATATATACATATATATATACATATATATATACATATATATATATATATATATATATATATATATATATAACTGAAATGTAACAACACTGTCTGTCTCACTGTCATTGTCTCACCTTTGTAGCACAAATTATTTCTGCATCCTCCTCCGTAGCTGGGAGGACACTGGGAACAAGGGCGGCCATTTTTGTAGGGAGCCTCCCCGATCCAGTTGCCCCTGCAGGAACACATGGCGCATATGTCGACTGAGGTTTGGAACATGTCAGCATCACTTTGCTGGCCGCTTCTGTAATGACTTTAACACTATTCGCCTGCGGTCAACACTCCTAAGAGGCTAATAAAAGCCCTCCTCGTTGTGTCTGAATGGAATGGAAACAAGCTCTTATTTTTCTTTCCCAATGCTTCGTTATCCTTTTTTCTATTTTCTGACTTCTGGAGGAATTGGAGTGGCCCTAAAATGTCATTCAGCGTTCAAATGAGCGGTCAAGCCAACAGCTGGGAGTACCTTAGGAACTTGCTATTCGCTGCCAGGACGTTTAGGAGGAAAAATGTAAGCAAAGAGCAAAGGTGTCATTTCTGGAATCGTTGCTCTTACTTTGGGGAGTAGTTGCACACGAGGTAGACGGCGTTCTCCCATGTTTCCCCCCACACGTTCATCCTCGGACACACATGCACGGCGCAGCCAACTCTGCTCGTGGTGGCCCAAACCACCTGCGAAGAAGGGAACGAAAGAAAGGCCAATGTAAGCTGGAGGTTCTGGATGAATGAATGAAAAGAAAAATCTAGTCAGTTAACCTATAAAACCGGCGGCCCATTTTTCCTCAAGTCGTCTCTCTCTCCCTGAGCTTTTGGGTCAATGGATCATTCCAGAGGAAGCGAGCAGACATGCGGTCACGATTAACGAGGCCAGTGGGACACAGCAGAGTGGGCAGTCTGTTTTTCTGCCCTCGTCAGCTGTTCATCTCGTGCGAACACACTTTGCCCTCTGGGATGTTGCCTCGATCCCTCTCATCAACCAAATGGAAAAGCCGTCATGCTCTAATATCTTATTCGGAAGCGTCCAAGGTAAAATAAAGCACCTTCTTCAACGGAAAACTGCTGCAGCAGTGCTCAAGATGAATGATGTGCCATTTGAAGGGGAATACGACACTCCAGGTTCCAAAACTCCTCCTAACTTTTCCTCTTTTTTCCTTCAAACGTGTGTGCGTGCTCTCCCTTCTTCGGAATGTTCATCTTTTTTCCTGGTTGAGACATTTCGAGGCCACTGGAAGCAGTGAGTCAGCAAGCAGAACTCGTGTCTGATGTGCTGCGACGTTAAGCTGAAGAGTCTCCATCTTTGGAGTGTATTGTCCAGTGGTGCAAATAATTAGTTTCAGTACCGTACTCTAAATCTGACACACCGCAGAGAAGAGTTTGGTTAACAATCCCGCCAAATGTGAATGTGTTAAAAAATCGTATATCAAACGGGGCTTTAAAGTGGTGAAATACATACAGTACTGTATCAAGCCTTTCCAATGTCTAAACACATGCTACAGCTGTAAAAATATATCCGCTTAAAGTCTCCCGTGACTGGAATAAATCCCACCAATTCGTCATGAGGCTTTTCCACACAGCGACAACGAGGCGCTGGAAAGCAAACACGCTAATTAATAGCCCTGTTTCACATGCAGGTTATGAAGCCGGACATTTTTTTTTCTTTTCGCTTCACTCTTCCACTTTCTCTCCTTGACATGCACGCACTCGTGGCCAACAACAAGGTGCTCTAACACAGGTGCACCAGCGGACCATCGGAAGGAAAGATGCATTTTCAGGGTGTAGCATAGCTAGCTAGCTAGCTAAGTGCATTCATATTGCACATTTTGTAATTGTGCTTGATAACCAGTGGTGAACGAACGAAGGTGGTCATTTTTTATAAACTGGGGGAGGGTGGCATGAATGAACCGATGTGCATTACTAGGCGCCGTTTCGCCAGACATTTTCAAGTATGTATTCTGCACGCTTAAATTTGAAAGGAAGGACACTCATCGAAAAGGTTTCGATGCTCAGTTCAAGTGGGGCCCCCCCTCACTGCAGCATCTTTAGAGGAATCCAGGTCAAGCATGGAGGGATGAGAGCGAATGACTACCAGATGGCCCTGGTCAGGTTTCAGGCTGAGGGGCAGAGGGAGGAGTCCGGATGTTTCGGTAAACACATCACAGAAGCTTCAAGATAAACTTTGAAGGGAAGATTTTCCTCAAATGCAGCTACACTCAGCGGTCATAAAATAATAGGTCACAGTATCTTCAAAAGAAGTTGATGACCTGACAAAGATAACAGCAGGCTACTTCGTTTAGATTGACACCATCTTGGATGTATTCATTTAACATGGTAGCAGATTAATGGCATTTTCATTCATTTCAGCGGGGAAAGATGATTTGAGATGAGGACACCCTTCAGTATGATGCAGCAGTACAGTTCAACGCCCGTGGAATATACAAAGACAACAAATGTGACAATATCGTCTCTTACAATGCAGACAACTGTCAAAACACAACATGATGATGTTTATAAGTGACAATTTTCATTCTTTTTCGATAAATGTTTTTTAAAAATGATTTGTCTGCCCATCACGCATTTTTAACCACCGTGTCTATTTGTTTCCCCTTCTTATGCCTCTTTAGAGACCTCTGGTGCGTTCGGGCTTCCCTCACCTGGGTGTAGTGGGTGCACATGGGCCCGGAGCAGCGCTCTGGACACCACGGGTTACACTCATGAGGGTAGGGATAGGTGTAGTCTTTCACTTCGTCGTACCAGGCCTGAACGTGGAAGGCGGGTGAGCGGTATCTGCACACACAAAACAGTAGCTTGGGTCAAAAAGTTTCTGGTACCACGTGAGCCTCTCAGCACCTCTTCCCCTCCATAATATGGGAAATTAAAAGAACTCCAAAGAATCAAAGCAAACGAAACATTGTCCCACCGTCTGACAAATCAGTATTGTAAACATGCCTTTTTAGGGTATTGAGGAGCACACAGCATGATGTGGAGGGGTTGGGGGGGGGGGAGCAAAGGGAGCGGAAAAAGGGAATCCTCAGTGGGTGTGCTGGCAGGGGAAGAAAAGAAGTGAAAGAGGGGAGGGTATGACGGCTCAGTGAGAATCAGAGCAGATTCCTGGAAGGGCACCTGCTGTGATAGCAACACACAGAGGCCTACTGTGATCAAACACACACATTCATACAACAGTCAACCCCTACTTACTGGACATGACATTTGCAAAACTACCCATGATGGATGATGGTGTTTCCCAATACTTTTGCCCACATAATGTGTGGTACACTTGAATCGACCCAACATAGTTTAAAAAAAAAAAAAAAAAGAAAGATTAAATGCAGCAGCAGTGGAAATATGTACCAGCGGTTTAATGGTTTCCCAGTGACACATGGACAGTCGACCCCCGACAACATGCACATGGTTCGCACTAAATAAATTCATTTAAAAAAGGGATTAGCACAGTTTGGCTGAATTGTGGCCCGATTTATGGTGCCCTTTGGGAGGAGAAAAAAAAAAAAAAAAAAACACATGAATGACAGAGTGTGGTGGCGGCCAACAGTGGAGACAGGAAAAATGATTTCTTGCAATTGGCACAATTGTCACCAGCTCTCAGCCAGAATGGCCTGTCGACAACACTTAAGTGATTGCCAGTGAATGTCAACGTGAAATGAGTTACTGGCAGATGCCGTTAGCGACACGGTGTGTAAATTAGCCGAGCGCGCATGCACACACACACTGCGCTGGATCGTGTGTGAGAAGGAAGGAGTCACTTATAGTCCAAGTGCTACATCTTGAAGGGCAAACTATTGACGCTGAAGTAATGTGTGGATTATAGGCACCCAAGGCTCAAAATGACTTGATTTTTCTTTGGTGACTTCATTTGAGGGGCAACTTTCTATTTTTGAACAGCGCCCTGAAGCAAGGGTTTTGGTGTAAAACAAAAATGCCAATATCATAAATGAACAATGGGTTTTCTTTTTTTATGTAATCAACAGTTTTGATTTCTTAAATTGACGTCATGAATAGAAGCAAATTATGTTATTGTCAAGAAACTATTTCAGGGGTTAATTTAATTTCAAACAAAAATATAAATTTCCGTATAAACGTATTTCTGAATGGGTTGTATAGTCTTTTGGCAAAGCAATATTGATTTTTTTTTCAACAGCTGTAATGCAATTTTGAGATTTGTTGTGCAGACGTCAAAAGTCTAAATCAAAACTCAGGATTCTATTGTGAAAACAGACAAATAAGATGACCGATATTTGCAATATTCGAAACTATATTAACACTTTTCAGCTTATAGATTAATATTTATACACTACAAGACATTTCATGTTCTTTTGAGTAGCCTAAGCATGAGCTTTCCTCAATGGTATCATTAATAATCACACATGACATATCATTTGACCACAGGGTGATAATTGTAGCCTTCTTCTTTCCCGCTGCAGTTTCAACGTGTGAATTGTCAGTCGGAAAGATGACATTATGTGAAGCAAATTTTTTAGAAGGGAGATGAAACACTCTAGCAAGTCAGTTGATTCACAAATAGATGTGTTGGGAATTCATGGCACCGACGTGCTCCTTTTATGGTGAAATGGACAGCATGTTAGCCATGATGTTTTTTTTCTAAACGGACTTAAAGACAACCAAACAGTTTGGCACAACCCAAAACACGACGTTTTTCTTATTTAAATTCAGGTCAGTAGTAGTCAATCACATTATGACACCTGGTGTTTGTTATTTACAAACATGTTGAAATGATGGCTGCGTCACTGGTTTGTGTCCCGGGCTTGGAATTTATGTTGTATTCATTCATACTTGTAAATACAAATAACACTGCTGTCTGAAAATGTCTGGTCTGTTCATTGAGGAACAGCTCCAACATGGAAAACAAATCTCATCGGAATCAAAGTGGTCAAAAGTAGAAATGTTAAAGGGTCTCACCTGCCCCAGTGAACAGCCAGGTTCTGCCCGATGGACATGAGCAGGTCCTGAGGTCCATGATCCCACTGGCACACCTCGGCCCAGTGAGTGGCAGACCTCTCCAGCTCGTCATCCCACACCTGTCGACATTCACCAGATCAACTCAGAAGGTTAATTTGGACAACCCAAATAAACCCAATAAAAAAAATAAAAAATAAATCTGCTCCTCTGAACTTTCATGGAGTTGCCCTACGAGTATTCCATAGTTGTCCAAATATACAGATGTCTCACACAGTCATGCAAATAAGTACTCCTGGTGAGACAGTCTGTTTACCAATCCACCCTAATTATTCTACTGGTGTGCTAAATTAATTATTTTATTCGTGAGGACAAAGAGCGTAATTGTATATTCACCGAAAGGTCCTACATTTTAAGGCTATCGAATAAATGCTCCGTAGCAGAGAGGACACCGAACTTACTCCTCAGTAAATTTCCAGTCCTTTGATGGTCAAACACACACACACACACACACACACACACACACGCACACACACACACACACACACACACACACACGCACACACACGCACACACACGCACACACAAATCCCAGCACCCTGCCTAACCTTCAAGGAGTCCCAAAAACAATAATTGCTCTACTTTGCCCACTCCTGTGCCATGCAGGCTGCTAACAAGCCCCCCCTCGCTTGTCTTCTCCAGCATGAAGCAGGTAGACTGCACAAAGTCAGCATTATTATCCAGCTTGTTAAAAAGAAACAGCAGGCTGGTAATAGTGTAACGTCATGACTGCATGTTTCCAGCTGAGAGAAAAGGCTTTTTTTTTTTTTAATATATACAGCAGCACTTTGTAAAGGTATTTTAACCCTTAAGCACATTCCAGTTTCCATGCCCACCTATTCTATAACATGAAATTGAGCTCCTTGGTTCACTGAGTGCCAGTTTATTTGTACTCATGGTTGTCTATACCAAATTCTAAACTATAAAGATTATCAAAATGAATTTAAAAGGCGTTTGAGATTAAGAAACGGATGATTAACCCTTCATCAATGTTTCAGCAAACGGGGACAGTTCACTTTTATTTGCTACATTGCACATACGCACTACTTGATCTTGTGCCTGTGTCAAGGCACCCTTGACGTCTGACGCTTTGTATGTACAGTATCATTCTTACATTTTTTTTTCACCTTCACTGTTTTGATGTAACCCTAGGATACAAAAAGTGCACATGTCTGCAGGATGCTGTGCAAATGTGGTAGAAACTCAGCCAGTTGTCAGGAATGTTTCAAGCTCCCCCGTGAACACCCTCCCATTAAAAAAAAACAAAAAAAAAACACATCTCAATGATTTTGACTCTTTTACCATTTCGAGATCTCCCATGAGTCTTCAGCCTTCAGAGACAAAAGGTGCATGATTCCATGACCCCTGTGTCATTGTGGTGGAAACTTGTACAGTTCTCTCTGTTTCAAGCTCGTACATTATGCCCCCCAATCCCAAATACTTCATAAAAATACACATTTACATGACTGTTTTACTGTTTCAACATTCCCCCACATGCGCATGGTTCTAAAGGAACCTGTGCCAATGTGGTGGACACACAAACACTTCTCAGGACTGTTTCAAACTCCCTTGTGACAATTGTCCGGTAAAAGTACACATTCTTCAAACACCAACAAATGCATGTTTCTGTGGGAAACTGTGCAAATGTCGTGGGGATATAGACGGTTTGAAGCTCCCGTTTGAACACTGTTACCACTTGCCAATGCCCCCCCCCCCAAAAAAAAATCTCATACATATTACATGTAGAGTTTCAAAATCCTCACAGATTTCCTTGATTTAACACACACTGGTACATCCATTTTAGTTTACAGCATTTTAGCTCATTTTGGGGGGGCGGGGGGAAATCAGAAAAAACAAATGATATTGGGGATATCCCCAATATCATTTGAGAAATTTTGGTGCTGACCTATCCAAATCGTGTCACGTGCAATGAGATTCCCAAGTGTGCCTCACCATGTACTCCATGTTGGCCGCGCTAGGGTACACCGAGCCCCTCAGCTTGTTGTGCAGCTGGAGGATCTCCTCCCGGTCCGACCAGCGGATGGCACGTCTGCTCCTGCTGCCGCTTCCATTTTGGCCGGTGCTGTTGTGACCCACTTCTTGGTCCTCGTAGCGACTCAACAGCTGCCTGAGCTCCTGGGAGTCGGGCAGGAAGAGAGACGTCGAGCTTCCGAGCCAAGAGAGGAGCAGGAGGGTGAGGAGAGGGATGAAGGCCATTGTTGACACTCTGACGATTGAACACAGCAGTGTTTTTTATATGTGAGGGGGGCTGGTCCTGACACAACCTGCCGGGAGGGAACATTTCATCAGTTTCTTCCTGTTGTGGGAGTACAAATTACAATAGTTGACAGATTACACAGCTCATGTACTAAAAACTTCCTCTTGCTTTGAGTTTTAACTGCATCACAAAATGTCAAATTACTGATAAGCGCTGATGAGTAATGTGACAAGAAGATAACCAGAAATGCTGTCAATACTGCACTAATGACTCATATATATGAGTGCATCGCAATCATGAGCAAAAGTGTCCTTTGCCTCATTTTAAACACATGACCTCGGTTTTTCTACTGGAATGTAAGTTACAAGTAATTATGTCACTAGTTTGCACACGATCTTCAGATGCATCATAATTCCAAGTCCAGTAAATCATTTTTCAATGTAAATGCTGTATGATGTTTGGAGCTAAAACATTAAGTCGTCTGGATTGATGCTAACAAATAATGGGCCATAGACAGGCTAACTAATAGCATTGCTCGAATGCAACAAGCCGTTGGACGATAAATATTTCAACACAAACAGGAGCGCAACACATGTAGACTGATACAATACTCACAGGGATATCTTCTTTTTCCTCTGTAAAGAATGACTAATATTACTGCCGCTTACTGAAAAGCTGAGCCGTTTCCAGGTATACCTGTATTCTACAGTCCCCAGGCAACCAAGGCGAGCACACCAGAAGAGTAGCACAATGTCCACTGAACTCAAGCAACAAATGTGCCCAAAACTGCTTCATTCTTAACTTGCTATTTATTAATGATGGCATCACGATGATGTTTTCATAAAGTACAATTAATCTAGCGTGAATTTTGTGTTGGGTTTTTCGACTGAGCTGGAACAGATAAATGGCATTTCCATTCATTTCCATCGTGAGAGATGATTTGAGATCTGAGTGTTTTGAGCTACGATCGGTGTCAAGGAACAAACTCAGTCTGTGTCTCAGCAAACCACTGTAAGGTAATCTAGCAGTTTTTGTAATCAGTTGACATAGCATGCTAAATTGTAGTGTGATTCATTAAAAAAAAGTCCTTAGAGCACCAGCTTCATCAAAAATTCAGTCCTTGAAGATAACGAATGATAATAAAACTCATGCTTACAGAGATTTGTTCAGTGCAAACTGCAACCGCAATACTAAAAATTGTGCTGCATCGTGTTAAATGACCATCGGTCTGACGTCTCAATAAAAAGTGAACATTATTATCCTGTGTAGGCATTTTTTTTTTTTTTGGGCTACAGCCGAATATTGGATCTCATTTGGTCGCTAATGTTGCGGCCAATAATGATTTAATGTCTAACAAGAGGGAGGACTTGTTCAAATAAAGCGAGAAAGGTGCAGCGGGTCCGTGTGAACCGACAAGAAAATAAACACGAGTTCTCGCTCGCACTGCTTCGCTCCTTATCCTTGAATCCCTTCAACTCTTTCCCCCTGGCTGCAAAGAGGCGGCTTGAGGTCTGGCACCGTCTCTGTGTCAACACGCCGTGCCAGGGGCAGCTGAGCCAGGCACCAGGCACCACACCCTACTGCTGCTGCTCGCACTCAACCGAGAGCAGTGTCGCTGCCCGGGCCCTTCTCATGGTTCTCCTGAATTTTAGACTGGAGTGACAAACGGGGCGAGAAGATATGGATGCATACTGTTGCTTCACGCAGTCCGGCCTCTTGAGAACTCTCTGCAGAGGGGATGGGTCTGACCTTTCGTTCACCTCAGCACCACGCTTGCATGTCATCTCCACTTCCCGACTCATAATAGGTGGTGTGTATATACTATTTAGTTTCCTCAGTGACATACATTAGGCCTACAGTATACACAGTCAATAGTCATATTAATAACCCAAGGGTATGAATAATTTCAGGCTTGACCATATATGCACACACACACACACACACACACACACACACACACACACACACACACACACACACGCGCGTCACATCGGTGGTGTCCAAACTGTGGCCAGGGGGCCATTTCATGGCCCACTGTTCTTTTTTTTGGCCTGCCACACAAGCTCATGCAATAGTGCCAAGACTAATGTGTTTTTCAAGGAGCAAGTCATCACTTGACCAATTTTGGTTAGGCACATCCGAGCAAAATTTGAGGGGTGCTTCAGACGCTCACTGAGAGATAGCGACAACACACTTCACAACATCCAGCCACTATTAATTCAGTGGTTTGGGAACATGCATGTTTTGTGCTCACATTTTCTGTTTGTAGGTTATATGGAGAACTAATGTAATGACAGTTACAGTTTTTTCTTGAGTTGTGGTTAAAAAAACAAAACAAAAAACAATTTTGGGGTGGCCAGAATTGAGTAACTGCAAAAATTGAAAATTACAATGTAACAAAATTTGAAAATGAAAAGAAATGAGTTTTTAACATGAAAAAGCCTCCTTATGTTTAACAAAGCTTTGTCACAAAAATTGAATGCGACAAAATATCACAATTTTTGACATCCCTTTAGCAGATGCTGACCTACCGTTTATTGAAGGGTTTTTAGTATTATATACTGTATGTCAAATACACAAGATGAAGTGCTGCCCCTCTTTCTGCCATTTTTTTGGGATGTGGCTCTCAAGTTTGGACATCGCTGTACTGTACACTGTTTATATTATTCAAATTTATATCTCAGTTGGTGCTCATTGTTCAGATGACATCATGAGCAAAGTCCTGCATGTCAGGTTTCATACACTGCACTTCAAATTGGGGTTATTAAAATTCATCATTGTAGCAATATACAAAAATTTCACTTCCCTCACAGGATGAACAAATCATCTATCGACACTATCCTTCCATCCATATTTCTCTCTTTTTCAGGCAGGCAGGGGCCATATTTGGTGACACACAACTCCATGTTTGTCCAAGCCTCATCGTGTGCCTAAAGTTACCAAGAATGGTCCTCTGCCAAATAAAATAAAACATTGCAGAAAGCATTTTGCACTAAATAAATATTATTGCTTTGACAGGTGATTAGTTCGAAATATACCAGCTTAGTTCAGGCGGGATGAAAATTACCCCAAGCTGAATGGATAATTACATAATGTCATTTATCACTTTTCTTTACGCCTTATCTAGTTCCATGATTAGAGGGATCACAGTGATACTGGGGCTTAGGTTGTTTGCCTGTCAATCCAAGTACTACATAATGATATACAAAAGAATGAATGGCAGATGTGGAAGAAGTCATGATTTTAGCGCTCCAAAACTCATCTTGGATTACAATGTTGATTTCCCGTCCATTTCAATGAGGGTTGAGGGGGCATGCAGAGAGCCTTCTTTCACATTCATCATCATTCAACTCTGTGCCTACTGCACAGTTGCTGCAGCTACAATGATGTACTTTTTGAAAAATGGAATGCACCAGACAAAACTGGTATGAATGAAGAGAAAAAATGTCTCAAGGCAGATTTAGGTAACAACAATAAACTTTTGTTATCTCACCTCTGCTCGTCTTTGGTCTCTATTCGCTTGCTTGAGGGCTGTCTTGTATTCCCGTGTGAGGATCTGCAGAGAGTTGTCAGCACGCAGGATGTGTCTACAGTGGGAGAAGCTTGGAGAGCCTTATATAGAGAAAGGACCCCTCAGAATGAGAGGAGGGGAAGGGAAAGGGGGGAAAAAAAAGCCTCCCCCACACCAACTTCCCTGAAATGTTCCTGGCTCAGCATGCATATGAGCAGCAGCAGCAGCCTCACGTCAGGAGGGAAAACTACAAATAATGTTAATCATCTCAGTGACAAATGAGTCGAGCAGCTGGATGAGGAGCCCAGAATGGAGCTCGGCTGACTGACTTTTGCTCACATGTGTGCATGTGCAAGCACTTGGCAAGAGCGCACAAACACAAAGGATGTTTTACCCTTCAAATCGAGACGAACAACTTCATCTAAGTGTTGTCTTTGGTGTTTTATAAACAAAGGGGGTGGAGTTGTCGGTAATGGTGTTCAAATGGTAAATGGGCTGTCACTTTTCAACGTCGGGTATTGAAAGGGCTTGACACTGTAACCTCATTGACCTACTGATGACGGGGCATCAGGCCCAGCTGGGGGCCAGTATCATGCTCAAGGACACTTGGACATGCTCGCAATGGGCGGGGACTGAACCCCCAACTTCTCGGTTGGCAAACAACCACTCTATCACTGAGCCATGCCGCCCCCGTGCATGGTATCGGATCATTTTTGTGAGTCAGAGCATGAGTTACAGGGATACACTAAAAGATAGTGGTACTGATATCGGTGCCGATACGATTCTGGTATCCTGTATCTTGTCTAACGGTCAGCTGGGATAGACTACAGCTAGCCTGCAACTTATAACAAAGACAAACACTAGATAAAATGGGTGGATGGATTGATTTAATTTGTTTTCATTCCCTATTTGTTGGTACCGTATTTTCCACACTAAAAGGCGCACTGGATTATGAGGCGCACCTTCAATGAATGGCCTATTTTGTAATATTTTTCATACATTGGGCGCACCGCGTTATAAGAGGCAATCTACAATGCATCCACTAGATGGAGCTACACTGAAGGAAATGCCAACAGAACAATCAGATGTCAGTAAAACTTAAAGCAGCGACACAGTTCACTTAACCAACAGCAAGTTATAACATTGACTCGTTAATGTTGAACTCTCTTGCCGCTACTCAATTTCCGTGTTCAACTGCGTAACCCAATCACCTTAAGTTTGAACTGTGTTGTAAGCATGTCTCTAGTAAGGAGCCATTTTGGGGGTTGACATACTGTATTACCGTAATAACCATACACAAGGCACATCGGATTTTAAGGCGCGCTGTGAGCTTTAAGAAAATGGAAGGCTTTTAGGTGCGCCTTTTAGTGCGGAAAATACGGTAAATACTTTTCATCGATCAGCTATGCTGTTTAGATAATCTCAGAGGGAGATTCCATGTTGGCAATACACCAACTGACTCAAGTATTGGGACAGGGAATGAAAATTTGAAGGAAATATGCAGTCGCCATCCATCATTTGCAGCTATGAGAGCTCCCACTCTAAGGAAGATTTTGCGCAAGATGTTTGAGTGTGTGGGGATTTTTTTTTTTTTTTGTCCACTCATCCACACCACACTCCTTCCTCCTTGATGGACCTTGGAACCCAAAAGGGCCTTCCCAAAACTGTAAAGAAGGGAAGCATACTTACTAAGATTTAAAAATAAAATCAGATGGAGCTAAAGGGTTTTGCCGAAACCCTGATTGATTGGTTCATCGATTAGGGGGCTAAAAATGGTGTCCTGATTGGTGTGTGTAGAGGTGAATGTTGATGAAAATCGATGCCATCATTCAGTTGAACAATCAGTGTGGCAAGTGACTGGTTGGCACATGAATGACGCAAATGTACAGTCACATTTGGCAACTCTGGGTTTTCCACACTACTGCTTTTATTGCATTTAAATGCCAACGTTAAACTAACATGTTGCTATGACATCCTGATTCATTTTTTACCCCAAAAAAATGCAGTGTGTGCAGATTATAAAAAAATGCTAACTAGATAGTAACTAATATGGGTTAAAAAAAAGGCTGTCACATTATGCACAGTTTGAATATTAACACTGTGATTAAAATAAAAGGTGTACTTAATGATTCAATTAAAGCAAATTGTACACAAAATTGTCACCCCAAAAAAATGTTGGAAACAAAATGTAGTTAAAGATTACATCTAAGTGTAAGTTTGTATGGAAGTGTGGAACTGCCAATGTGGAGTACATTTTTTTTGTACTAAAATATTGACTCCAGATTGGCATTTCCATGCTTCTGTAGTATTGAACTGAAAACTGAAACGTTTCATACTTAAATAATGTACTAGATCAAATAAGGTGAAGCAACTGCAACATCATGCAGTTTAATAGTTCATTCAGTGGTTCTTTGCGTACCACAAGAGGGAGCCCGCTGACCACACTTTGAGAACCATTGAACCCGATCTTAACCACAGTTGAATATAATTCTAGTTGTCGTCGCTCATGGACGTTGAAAAAAGTAAAAGGCCAATTCTGAAAAAGAGAGTAGAAATTATTCATGTTTTCAAATGGAGGTAAAAGTGATCAAAAATATAAATACTCAAGCACAAGTACTCGAAAAATGTACTTACGTACACTAACAAAGTATCTGAACGTCATACTTAGCACCACTGGATGAGGAGCATCCTTTATTGGGTCTACACTCTAATACATAATTCATACAATTTCAGTGGAAACTCTTCTGACGTTATATAATAATAAGCACGTGGGATTGCCGTTTTTTTTTGGTGGTGTTCAAGGGGAACCACCATCACACACACACAGTACTCCATATGTATTACAGTGCACGGGTTTATTTTGATAGGGGCTGGAGGAGGTGGTTTGGAGAACCTCGAAACATGACGCACACAGGCGAGCTGAACATGAAGCTGATTAGCAAAACAAACCACAGAAAGGCATTGAAACGTCCGCACAGGTTGCATGACGACACAAAGTTGAGCGACATTTAAGGTTTCCATTGACTTGTGCTTCACCTCTTGGCAGAGGATGCTCCAACAGGGCAACCCTGGGCTTTGAGAGACAAAGTCATTGACACAATTGGAGCCTGAGCCACTTTTGCTTGAACCAGTTAGTCGGCGAGTTTACTTTATAACATTTAGGTTGCTTGGGGGGGTCTATTGTTTTTTTTTTTTTTTTTTTTTTACACGTCTCTCAACACACTAAGATAATACCAACAAATTTAAACAACGTAATATACCAAAAGAGCAAGAGCAATGAATATCCCAAAAATATTGCAGTGTATCTATCTCTCATTGTTTACAGGAAACAAATAAAACTAAACATCATTAATCATGCCCAAACAGAATTAACCTATGGCTGTCGCTAACTGTAGGCATAAAAAGCAGGATTACAGCAGATGACGTTCAACAGGCCGACTTCCTGTTTCCTTCTTGCTCAAATGAAAGTTTGTCAGAATCCAGTGGTCAAAACTGGTATTACACCTGATGTAAACAAAAGTTAGAACAAAACATAATCTTCCAATAGGCCAGTTTTCAGGGGACATTCACCAGACTATAAAGCTCCGTGGAGCAGCAAATTATCTGGCCAACAAAGGGACACAGTCGAGAGAGAATGAGGTATCGCGAAGAGCTTTGCTCGCTTCGGCTATTTCGATTGCTGCTAGTCTTATATTGCCAGTCTACAGAAGTGTGGAGCTGCCAAAGTGGAGTAAAAATATTTGGACTGGCAAATATGTTCCAATGTTCTCGCAAAAAGTTTCAGACATACAGTACTCAAAAATACATTTGAACATACTCGCAAATACGGTCGATCGTACTTTTGGGCTAAATGCTACAAGTGTAGCATTTTTTCCCACAATGGTCTTGATTTGCACATGCGCGAGTAAAAGATATATTTTTTTCAGCATTTGGCATTTACGTTAAGGTTTTCTCTTTATCGACAGCCGGGGTAGGGAACTCCGGTTCCTCGAGAGCCGTATCCTGCCTGTTTTACATCCCTCTCTACTCCAACACACTTGATTCAATTGAACAGCTCATCAGCAAGCTCTGAAGAGGCCTGAAACAATTGTATCCGCGATTTGTCAGTATTTAAATCCACTGCATTTGTTCACAAGCTTTCTTTGTTGAATGGCTGGGAGAAATCACAGGGTTCTACTGTCTTAAAGTAAGGTGTGGTCTCCTTTTAAAATTACATTTGAGTTTTTTTTTTTGTTCCTTGAGCTCTAAATTATTAGAGCTGCATACCAACAACAGTTAAAAAAATCGTAACTCACCAAGAAGATGAATGCCGAGAGATGCTCCCTTTAAAATGAGAATACAGCCGCACTAATACGATTAACTTTGAACAGTCTTTTGGAAGAGATTGAATCTGAAAGAAAATTACATGAACAAATAACTTTTGACCACTGTTTGACCCATGTCGACATTTCAAGAAGTTATTCGTCCATTTTCCTGCGCTGCACTGGTCTTTGTTAAGGTCACAGGGTGAGTTGGAGCATATTCCAGGTGACTGGGTGAAAGGCAGCAATCAATCACAGCAGGACACATTTAGAGCTGTTTAGACTGACATCAACACAGTCACCGCATGAGAATCAAACCAATCCGCAATGCACAGACGTCAGTCAAGTAACCCACTATACAATCCTGAACACAAGCATTGCTATTAAAATACAAACAAGTCATTGCTTGGAGCCGTAAGATTTCCAGGGGCCGCCCCAAACATCTCATAAAAACAGAAGTTTAAGGCTACCATTGTTTTAGTATTAATTCACGTGCTTAGACATTTAAATATATCAGCTATCATAATGGTTTCGACTACTGTACTGTACTCCCGTCTCTCACTGTGCATGTGTAGATTTGATAAGTTTTTATTCCAGCTGAATAGAAACGTTTTTTTTTGTTGTTAATCAAAATTATGACTTTGACATTTTTCATCGTGACACCAAGTGTGTATGGAAAACAGCATGAGCCAGACACTCTTGCCAGTTGCATTAAGTAGCACTGCATAAAATGAAGTGGAGAGTGACTCCAGATTTTACGAATACATCTTCGAAACTACACCGTATTAAAGCGGTCAAAATT